GGGCGGGGAGGCTCTGCCGTGCAGCGCAGCTGTCCTGCGTCTGACCTCAAAGTGCACAAGCATCCAACTTCAGCGTTGGCTGCGATTTTGAAGCTGAAATCGCGTTCGGTGTGAACGCAGCATTAGACACTTCTGTGTCCTTTTCACCCAAGCATACTCTGAAATTTGAAGCATTCAGGTATAAAACATAATATTTTGATTCCTTCTAAGAATACTACAAAGGTGCTAAGACATTGATTTTCCAAAAAACAGTCTTTTCAGGTGTCATTTTGTTCTTGTCTTTTTGCAAACGTCCTAAAGCTTATGATAATTGGGGTTCTATTGAAACTGTGGTGTTAAACTACTTGGACTGATTGACATATAATGCACCTGTTCCTCTGCAGCGGCCAGCAGCAGTTGGCTTCAGGAGCACGTTGCCGACCTGAGTCGAAGGTAAGAACATCAACACGACCTCACCTCTTCTCCTCAGCCAACCTGTCTTTCTGTTCTGGTTCCTTCTGTTTCTCTCTCACTTCATCAGCAGATCTCAGTTTTCAGGAGGATCTGTTTACACTGACTCAACACTCAAACACACTGCCACGGTAAACCTATCCTTCCTGTGTCTTACTCTGCATCTGGCTGTCCAGGTGTGCTGATATTTGGGACATATGGGTCTCCTCAGAGGTCAAAGATCATTCTCAGTCCACCTAGAGGACACTGAGTGAAAAGAGACAGGCTCATTGATTAAACTACTCATAAATAGCTGAAAGATTATCTTATTCCCAAATTATTGACCACAAGCTCTTTAGATTTATCGAAAAGCTTTTAACATAATTATGGTTGATAATTAGATATATCGCCAAAATGAGCTCAACAGTGGTAAGTGAACAAGCACCCACAGTTGAAAACGAAGCTGACAGAATTGTTAATAAAGGAAAGACTACCATAATTTAGTGGTGTGGAAGTGGTTCAGATATCAAAGGTCTAATAAACTTCAGCTTTCAGTCTCTCCTGGAGAGTGGTGCCAACTCGCAGCGGAAACACTTTAAACCTAATTAATTAATTAATTAAGTTGATAAAACATTGAGTGGATGAAAATGAAGCACCCTAAAAGTTTATGCCCTTTTCCTAAAACATGTCCCTGTCAGCCGCTGTGTTGAGCAAAGTGAAACAGATGTGATGAACACATGCACGACTATGGCAGGGCATTTTGACATAAAATTGGCTTCACCTCACTTGCATTCCAAATATATGAAATTGGTTTATGACTAGACATATTTAAGTACAATAACTAGCCAAAATACCTATTTGAGATATTTCTAATTAATGTCAGATTTACCACTAAGTTGTATTGAGGCTGTAATTCAAGATATCTACAACAAATTACTGTATGTCTGAAACATATATTTCACATATGAATTAAATAATGACTAGTCATAAGGTAAATTTGAGCTATCACCCTTTTTGTTCAGACTAATCATAATTTTATTGAAAGATGTCTTAAATTACACCAGGTCTGTAGGTAGAGTAAATATTGGTGTTCTTGGCAGTTTTTCTTACATTTTTATAATTCATATCAATATTGAAATCATATCAGCTGAAATTAGGAGTTATATCGTGATATAAATTTTAACCGTACCATCCAGCCCTCATTGATAGTGTTTTTAGATTTGAAATCTCATCTTGACTCCTCCAAACATGTCATTAGCTGCATTTCCATTGACCATGAAAATGTGCAAATTAGAATTTCGGAAATAAATTTGCTCAATGGAAACACGTCAATTTCGAAAAAAATTACTTTTTTCGACAAAATGGTTTTGCGCTAAGATAAAGACAAGATAAAATTGGTGTATTTCGCAAAACTGACATGGAAACACTTTTTTTGCATCATGGGAGTCACGTGATCAACAACTGGCTGTTTCTACTGGCGAAAAAGACGACGAAGAAGAAGACAACAGGAAGTAGTAGTAGTAGCAGTAAAATCACAGAAGTAGTAAAAGAAAGTAGTAAACTCACCAACTACAATTTCCCAAAAACACAGCATACGTATCCACTCCCAAGTGTAAGGAGCTTGTCGCTCGAAAGCCTTGATAAGACGCCGACATCTTCTGTGATGGCTGATGTTGAGCGCTAGTGTCGTTGTAACAATATGCTATGTGTTTACATCCGTTGCCGCCATGTTTGTAATGACGTATCACGATAACAGAGGACGGGGAGACGAGTGGTGAAATTATTTCTAAGTTTATCTGACTTTATCTGACTTAGTTTATCACACACACACACACCAGCGTGTCACAAATACGGACTTCAAAAAAAGACGTTATAACATTCACTATGGCAAGGGTGGGCACGCCCTGTGTGTACCCAAAGCGTGACTTTTGCTGATGTGCTGTTTAAATGTCCCTGACGCACATGACGTGCGGCTGTGATTTATAAATGAAAGATGCGCAGAAACGTGCGTACGCACGGTTTTATAAATCTGAATATTTTTTGGCGAACGCCATTTTCGCCTTTTGGCCGTACTTTCATTTTTAGTATGGTTTCCACGCAATCCCTTATAAATCTGACCCCTGGGCTTGTCTGTGTGAATTAGCTGGTAGTTTCAGTTGGAGCAGGAGCATCTTTCTTTTTTAGCACCCTCTCAGTGCACGGTGATATAAAACTGGTGTCACTGTGGACAGGGACGATGATGTTGAGTTTCCACTTCAGGGTTTGAGCCTTAATTATTCCTGAACATCCAAACCACTTTCCTTTCATCTGAGGGTGATAGACGAGTACTTTTCAGTTAAATGAGTGCCCTGGGTCAAAAAAAATAATTATTCAGATAAGTAATTAAAAGTCTAAACGATCATTCCCATAATGAGTGGATGGAAACTGACTGCAGCTGTATCAAATGTTCATTGAAACTGCTTTAACCTTATGTTCATAAACATGAACAATGTTTGATTTAAATGTTATCATCTCAAAGGTAAATGTAGCAAAAAAATGTTCTGGAGTTCTTTAAATATAAATTCTCTGTGTCCTGGTAATCTTATTGTCCAAATCAGCCTGCAGTTCATTTCTGATCGCTGCAATGAATTTTACATCCCGCTGTTTGTTCCCACATCGGAAGTTAGTGATGTCTATGATGTGAACACACAAACACACACACACACACACACAAACAAACAAACACACACACACACAGAGACTCAGCAGCTCAGTCGGTGCAGGTTACTTGAGGCGACAGCCCGCAGAGTTGTGCAACAGAACTGAGCAGTGATTGGCTGAGAGGACAGAAGTGAACAGGACGTCCCAGCCTAGTTTAAACTCTTTAACTGAGTGTGGAAGACACAGTGTGTTCTTCCATATGAGCTGTGTGTGTGTGTGTGTGCGTGCGTGCGTGCGTGCGTGCGTGCGTGCGTGCGTGCGTGCGTGCGTGCGTGCGTGCGTGCGTGCGTGCGTGCGTGTGTGTGTGTGTGTGTGTG